AAGAAGGCGACGGAGCCCGCAGGTCTCCGGGTCGGGGCCCCGGGTTGCGGCGGGGGATAGTCAGGGTGGCGAAGCCCGGGGCGCGGCCGGGTGTCCAGGATGGGGCCGGGGACTCCGAGGAGCGGAGGGGCCCTACGGAGCGGCGATGACCTGGCGGGGCCCGTACCTCTCACGAGGGTCACGGGCCGGTCCACGAGGAGGTCGAAGGCCTTCGTCAAGTAAGTGATGGGGTTGGGCACCGAGGTCTGCGGCGAGGGCGCCGGCGTACGGCGCGGGGGCTCAGGGTACACGTCCTTGTCCCAACTGTCCGGCATGGCGGCGGCGGCGGCGCACGGCTACTTCCCTCTCGGACGAGATGCCCCTACTCCCACCTCCGTCCGGTGTCCTAGATCGCCCGCCGCAGAGGACGCCCGAGGGCTGCCGCGCCTGCGCAGAGCGCCCGGAGCGCGCGAGGCACCATGGAACTTGTTTCCCCGACACGCCTACATGTGGGCCCGGGCAATGCCTCGCAGCGCGGGCGCCCCCGCGTGGAACTGCAGCTCCATTGCACATGCGACTTCCTTCGGTCTCTTTCTATGAAGCACCCCTGCTTGCATTCTATGAGAAGACTAGGTAATAGGTAAAGACTATGAGAAGACAAGACTAGGTAAACTATTCATTTAGTTCCAACGGCGTACAGGAACATACCAAGTGCAGCAGAGTATAAGATGAACACAGCTGGGCTTTTCTGGAGAACTCAGACCGGTGGAGCAAACAAGTAACACCACAGTCAACAAATAATGCCAACTATTCTAGACCTGGATGCCTTCTTGGATTGCCCATTCCCTACAGCTCTCTCTGGGTTCCACTGTGCCTGCCAAGGCCCCTTATGGACTGACTGATTGATGCCAGTGTGCTTGGGGGACCTGCCTGGGGCAGAGCAGGAGGCAGGGCTTACCCCCTCAGAGTCCACACCTATAGGGAGAGGTGGCTTCTACCCTGAGGACACAGCACTCTGGACTGGTTCTGATGGTTCCATCCTGGCCTTGAGCAGTGTTGTGCCCCCAAGGCAGCTCCACTGACAAGGTCCTGCTGGCTGCCCTCTGTGATCTTCATACCTGGCATAGCCCCTGGCTGGCACCAAGGAAGGTGCTGGTCACTTCCTATCTAGGGGCTGCTACCAGGGACACAAAGCCATCAACTCCATGGACTCACAGAATCTGGAATCACAGAAACATCAAATCTTCAAATCATGAACTTTTAGTTGGCATTTAAAAAAAAATTTTTTTTTTAGCTGAGCCATCCTGCCACCTGTTGGCAACTCAGCGGCAGCTCAGCTTGGGCCGGGACTCAAACTGCTATTGCTCAGAGCTCGCACTCTTGAGCGAGCTCTTAACCAACTGAGCCACTTGGCCGGCCCCAAATCATGAACTTTTAAACAGATGCTGTCAGACCCAAAGTATCATAACATTGGACTGAACATTGGACAGAACAGGAAGTCCAATGTTGGACCCAACAGAGGCAGGGCAGAGCCGCTGCCATCACTAAGATGCCCTGATAGCTCTGAGATGATGGCTTTCTGCTGCTGCCTGGGAGCAGAGGGACTCAAAGATCATGCAGCAGAAGCAGAAAAAGGCAAGTGAGAGGGAGGAACCCAACCTAGTAGCTTTATGGCTCCGTGTCCAACCCTCTGGCCCTTGACCTGTGTGCCTGGAGCCAGTCCCACCACACCTGATTTTCCTGCAGCACTCATAGATCACAGCACAGATGGCATCCCCTCTGCCATGGGTCTGTAGCTGTCCCTTCTGTGCTTCCTTCTCTCCGGTAGCCTCTCTCCTCAGGGCACTCGTGGGGTGGAGGGGGTTATCCCTTCCTAGTGATTTTATTCCCGTGGGCCTAAGCCCAAAGTATTAAAAGTACCTTTGTAATTAGAAAACAACAACAAAAACAAAGAATCGTGACATTTTAGTACCATAGAATCTTAGCATCGAGTGAGTGATGGAAAATCCACAGACCTTCCAAGACTTCTTAGGCCTATAAAACTCTAGTTCTATAGATACAGAACTTTAAAACCACAGACTCTTTGAATAAAAAAATAAGATTTCAATCCCCTTTTCATTCAAACTTTAAGTTCATAAAAGTGTCTAAATGTTCTCGGATCACAGCTATTAGAGTCATGGGATCCTGATACTGAACTGGGGCCCTGGTGATCCTCTGGGCACAGAGCCAACCCTCCCCATCTTCCCCCTCCTCTTTGTGCAGCTCAGACTCACAGCACTCAGGACAGAAATCCCCTCAATGCCAGCAGACTAGCCTCAGACCCTCCTTGCAGGCAGCTGCCTGAGAGAAGCCCCCAGTGGAGGTTCCTCGCCCTCCACCAGGCCAAGTTGTTCCTGTCCTGGGGGGGTTCTCAAGAGGCAGAAAACAAAGTGGGTGTGACCCTGTCCCAGGGCCCTTGAGGAAAGGAGTGCCAGCCCTGGATCCATGTGTCCTCCCCCCAAGTTGCCCATTTGATGGCCCCCACCCCCCACTGCCTTGCCCCGGGCCAGGCTTGCTTCTGGCACACCACGGGAGATGACCAAGCTCCTCTGCCAGGGGCTAAATCTGGGATCTGGCTGCTGTGTGTCCTGGCCCTGTCACTCGACCTCTGGCGCCTGGTGGGGAGGCCTCTTTCTTTCCTGATCTGCAGGGACCAGCCGCCATGGTCAGTGGTTTGCGGGGGCTGGAGCTGGAGCAAGCTGGCTTTCTGAGGAGGGGCAGGTGGGCTTTCGGAGTCTCCACCAGCAGGGATGGTTCTTGGACCTGTGAGGGAGTAGGGGATTGGAGAGGACAGCAGGGGCCAGAGCTCTGGCTGCCAGACCTAGAACAGGCAAGGAGATGGACGGATGACAGCGGCCCCGCCCCTGTAGTCCTCGCCACAGTGTTGGCCTGCCCCTCCTGGGCCTAGCCAAGCTGAGCCCACTGAGGCAGGAAGCCTGTGGGTGAAGAGGGCTTGGTGCTGGCTCCATCCCTAAGACACTGCCCCTGGGTGAACCTTCCCCTCCTTTCTTGTAGAAAGATGGAGTCACTGAAGACCATTGGGCCTTAGTCTGGGGTCTCTAGCTCACTTCTTTGGGTCTGAACCCTGGGACCATCCAGCCACCCCCACCAGGGTGACCCCAGCTCTGATCTTCCTCTTCTACTGTTCCTAGTCCCACCGGAAGTTCTCTGCCCCTCGGCATGGACACCTGGGCTTCCTGCCCCACAAGAGGAGCCGCCGGCACCGGGGCAAGGTGAAGACGTGGCCCCGGGACGACCCTAGCCGGCCTGTACACCTCACGGCATTTCTGGGCTATAAGGCCGGCATGACACACACCCTGCGAGAGGTGCACCGGCCAGGACTCAGTGAGTGTCCACAGAGGGACACATGGGGTGGGGGGAGGTTGGACAAAGCACCCCTGATCACCAGAAGATCTAGAGAAACTTCCAGATGCTAGGAGCCACTGTTGGACTCCAAGAGGGGACATGGCCTCAGAAAGGGTGAGGCCCTGCCCACTGGTATCTCAGTCAGGATACTGACTGTCATGAAGTGCTGACCACTGGCCACCCCTCGAGGTGGGTTCTGTCATTGCCCCCAGCTTACAGATGAGGAAATGGAGCAGTTATGAAAATTGCCAGTGACCCAGTTAGTCAATGGAGGAGCTAGGATTAAAAGGCAGACGCCCAATATACAATACTTTTTGTTTTGAGATCATTGTAGATGTACATGTGGTTGTAAGAAACGATACGGAGAGAGCCCATGTACTCTTCACCTAATTTCCCCCAATGGCAACCTCTTGAAGAGCCACATGTCACAACTGGATATTTACCCATGTTTCCCCAGTTGTGTGTGCGCTCACACATGTGTGTGTTTAGTTCTCTATGGCTCTGTCCCACTACATGTGTGTACCCACCACCTCGGAACATTCCACCCCCACATGGATCCCCCTGGTACCCTTTTATAGCTACAGCCACTCCCCCTACCTTCTGGCAAGCACTCACCTACATCTATAAAATCTATAACGCCTATAAAATCATGGGTTTTGGACAAATTATAGGCTTTTTTCCCTAGAACCCTTCAACATACATTCATAACTATTAAAATAAAAAATGGTTGTTTGTGCCCCACTAAAGGAGGTCCAACCCCACCCTTTGGGGAATGCTGCCCTGGTCGTTGCCCTGCTAGCCCATTCCCGGATGGTCTAGTGGGGAACCTGAGGCAAGGAACAAGTCAGGCCTTGCCTGAGATCTCAGAGTCAGAGCTAGCATGGACCATCCATGGGGCCCTGATCAGCAGCTGCTCCACACCCAGGGCAGAGCAGGGAGCGAAGGGGCAGGGTGCAGGCAGTCTGAGGGCTGGAGGTCAGCGGGGTCCCTGGTCATGAGGGCCTCTGTCCCCAGCAGCCCTGGGGGTGTGGTGCTCCCTCCTTTTTCAGGCAGGAAGGTCTGCAGTTGCCTTTTCCATGGGTAAGAGTCTGTACCCATGGGCCCTGGAGGCTCTCCTCCATGCCCCTGTCTCATTTCATTCAGAAATTTCTAAGCGTGAGGAAGTGGAGGCTGTGACGATTGTGGAGACACCACCTCTGGTGGTGGTAGGCGTTGTGGGCTACGTGGCCACCCCTCGAGGCCTGCGGAGCTTCAAGACCATCTTTGCAGAGCACCTCAGTGATGAATGCCGCCGGCGCTTCTACAAGGACTGGTGAGGGCTCTGGGGTGGACCATGTGTGGGCTGGTGGAACTACTGGGGATGGGTGGGCCTTTTACTTCCCAGCCTTGTGCGGGAATGATGGGGTGGGCAGGAGAAGTGTCACCAGTGTGTGGAAGGCAGGAAAGTATGTGGTGTGTGTGCGCGCGCACATGCACACGCGTGTATAAGGATGCCTTCAATTCAGTAAAAGATGAGTACTAGCAGGCTGGAGAGAAAACTGGGATACAGAAAAAAGAGGAAGGAAATATTCTAATCCTCAGGGTTAATTAAAGAACTAATTTGATGAAATGTCAGAGTTGGCTCTGAGCTTCCTAGCAGCTAGGGTGAAAAGGGAAACAGCCAACTGACAAACTCTTCTTATCAGAAAGGCATTCTCAGGCCTCAAATCTTCCCTGGCACAGGTCCTGAAAGGGAAGGTCCCTTGCCTGAGGAACTTCACAACCTCACAGACATCCCCCTCCTTACAGAGGCAGAGGCAGAGGCAGAGCCCAGCCCTGGCCCTCTATGGGAGGTGAAGAGCTTGGGCCCTAGAGTCAAAGTGGGCTTAGTGACCAAGGGCAAGCTGGCTGATCTCTAAGAGCCTTGTATCACCTCCCCTCCCCCAGCCCCCCAGAACCAGGCATGCCACAGACACCATCAGATGGAGGTGGGAGTGGTTCCTGCATCACTATAATCCTTACAGTGGCTGCTGTAAGGATTAGATGAGCAAAGTGGGTCAAGGGCTCAGCACAGAGGAAGTGCTCGGCAAATGCCAACTGGCCTTGTTTTCCCCGTTTTTATGGTTATCAACTGGCCCCTGATCCAGGGGCTTTGACCTTTGTGAACCATGGCTTCTTCATCTGTGAAATGGGGATAATAGTGTCCACCACCCAGAGTTCTAGCAAGGGTTAGGAATGACGTGTATGGTGCCGGGCCAGTACCGGCTGTTTGCTTCAGAAGTGGGGTTAGCAGCTGTAGCGATGTGGGCAGGTGGCCGGCACATCCCTTTCTCAAGCTCCTGCACATCTGCCACTCTCCCTCAGGCCCTGGGCAGGCAGGGAGGGTGCCCAGTTTACAGAGGAGGAAGCTGAGGCCCGGAGTGGGAGAGGCAGTCTCTGCTTAAAGATGGTGACTGGAGCCAGCAGCCTAGGGACTTCAGGGAGGGCCCGGTAGTGGCCTCCCCTGGGAAGGAAAGGACGAAGGAAGGGGACATTTACTATTCTAAGACCCATGCCTGGTAGGCGGTGGGCAGGTGCGGGCAGGACAGGCCTGGGGAGCTGCCCTGGCTGGCCCCTCTGAGCACCCTGTGTGCGTGGCTCAGGCACAAGAGCAAGAAGAAAGCCTTCACCAAGGCCTGCAAGAGGTGGCGTGATGCCGATGGCAAAAAGCAGCTCCAGAAAGACTTTGCTGCCATGAAGAAGTACTGCAAGGTCATTCGGGTCATCGTCCACACCCAGGTCAGCACCCTACTCCCTACTCCCTTGTCCACACCCGGTCAGCCAGTCCAGCCCCTGGGCACCCTCCCCCACCCCAGCCTCTGGGAGCCCTGGCAAATGTCAACCTAAAAATACCACGAGCACTAGGCACAGGCCCAAAGGGTTGGCCACCCGAAGCCCCAGTGGGCATCAGTGCACCCAGGGCCCTGGGGCATTGGCCACGCCCAGTGGTCAACCAAGGCCCTGAAATGCCCCAGAAGGCCTGGCTCTCCTGCCAGGTGTCCGGTGTAGAGGGCCGGCTACCACCCTGTGGATTCTGGCACAAGTGTGTGTGTGAATCCACATTCATATATGGGGGTCTAGCTTGATGTGGGCTGACAGGTTACCAACACTCCCTGGCTTATCCTGGAACATTCCTTGGCCTCTTGTCCTCAGGGAAGACTTTTGTAGGCCCTCCCTCCCCCACCCCACTTACTCTCACACTTGCTGTTCTTGGTTACCTGTGTCATTGGTTAATGTCCATCTCCCTTGAGCTGCATGAGGGCAGGGGCCACAGCTGCCTGTTCAGTGCTGTGCCCCCAGAACCCACCAAGAGCCTTGTATGCAGTAGGTGCTCCCTAAGTATTCATTGCTGAGCACTATGCTATGATCTCAGAGTGTCCCTGCTTCACCTGTGTGTCCCCATAGCCTGTGCTTCACATGGCAGCAGCCAGAGATGTTTAAAAACATGAATCAAGGGCCGGCCGAGTGGCTCAGTTGGTTAAGAGCTCGCTCAAGAATTTGAGCTATGAGCAATAGCGGTTCGATTCCCAGCCCAAGCTGAGCTGCCGCTTAGCTGCCAACAGGTAGCAGGATGGCTCAGCTAAAATAAAAAATAATAATAATAATAAAAAAAAATATGAATCAAATCATGTCAGAGCCTGCACTTGGAATAAAGCCTGAGTCCTTCCTGTAAGACTTGCTGACCAGGCCCCTGCTCACCTCTGACTCCATCTTGCACTCCCTCCTCCTTGCTCCTCATGGTCTACACACACTGGTCTCCTTCCTGTCCTCCCAATTCCCCAGGATTTTCCCTGTCTCAGGGTCATTGTACATGCGATTCCCTCTGCCTCAAAAGCTCTCAGATCTTCACCTAGTAGCTCTATCTTGTTACTGGTGTCACCTCCTCAGAGAGGTTCTCCCTGACCACATTAGGTGCAATAACTGTCCCCTCCACCCTCAGTATTACATCAGAACACTTAGCCCTCTCCAAGAGTTTACTTGGCTTCTGTCCCCCAACTACAATAGATAATGGCTTCATGAAGGTCAGGTCCCTGTCTGCCTCATTCCATACTCTACCCCAGTGCCTAGCACAGGACATAGCACATAGCCAGACCAAGCATGGGAACATCTGCTGAATGAATGCAGGCATGCAAGCCTGCCAGGGGTCACCAGTTGATCATGCCGTGTGTGCACATGGGGATGTGACCCTCTGGGAACTGACTCGCCATGCCGTGTCCTGCAGATGAAGCTGCTGCCCTTCCGGCAGAAAAAAGCCCACATCATGGAGATCCAGCTGAATGGCGGCACGGTGGCTGAGAAGGTGGCCTGGGCCCAGGCCCGGCTGGAGAAACAGGTGCCGGTGCACAGTGTGTTCAGTCAGAGTGAGGTCGTTGATGTCATCGCTGTCACCAAGGGCCGGGGCGTCAAAGGTAGGGCCAGGTGGGGATGGCAGCTCCTGGAAGGTTGCCTGGAGGGGATGGGGGCCATACTAGCTTCTCAGCCGCCAGCCCCTCCCACCTGCAGGGGTCACGAGCCGCTGGCACACCAAGAAGCTGCCCCGGAAGACCCACAAGGGGCTGAGAAAGGTGGCCTGCATTGGCGCCTGGCACCCTGCCCGCGTGGGCTGCTCCATCGCCCGGGCTGGGCAGAAGGGCTACCACCACCGTACGGAGCTGAACAAGAAGGTGTGTCTGCAGTTCTGGTGAAGGGGGGAGGACACCATGACCAGACTCCAGTCAGTGGGGTGCATGACCCAGATACTTCCTGGCTCCCCAAAGGCTCTGAAATGCCCCCACCAGTGCCTGAGTCTAAGCCCATGTGCTGATGGGTGTGGACATACTGCTGGCCCCAGAGACCACCGGCTGCCCTCAATGTGCCCTGTTCTCCTGGCAGATCTACCGCATTGGCCAGGGGCTGCACATGGAGGACGGGAAGGTGGTTAAGAATAATGCATCCACCAGCTATGACATGACTGACAAGTCCATCACACCACTGGTGAGGGTGGGAAGCCGATCTGGCTGAGGGGGCCTGGTGTGCATGTGTGGGGTACTGCTATGGCCCCAAGAGCTCAGTCCCCAGTGAGCGGCTGCCTGGTGGAACAAACCCCTCCCTTCCTGCACCCTCTGAGCCTCCTCTGCAGAAAGCTTACACTCCAGCTGCTGTCACTGGCTTTGACTGTGGCCTCTAAGTCAGACTGCCTGGGCTTGAACCCCAGGGCAGTGTGTGCTGAAGCAGGTGACTCCACTCCTCTGAGCCTGTTATCCTCTATGTAAAATGCAGATTGTTAAATGAGATAATGCACAAGAGGACTTAGGGTGTGGCTCAGATGCTGCTCTGATTAGTGATCGAGGGTGGCCAGGGGCCGGGCACTGGCTCTTTCCAATTACAGCCGAGTATGGGAGTTTTCCCAGCTGCCCCCTGCCCCCTAACTTGCCCCCTGCCCCCTAACTTGGCAGCCCTTTCTTGGTCTGGACTGTGACCCACCTCTCTGCAGGGCGGCTTCCCCCACTATGGGGAAGTCAACAATGACTTCGTCATGCTGAAGGGTTGCATCGCAGGAACCAAAAAGCGGGTCATCACACTGAGGAAGGTGAACACCAGCAGTGGGCTGGGGAGCTGGGGAGCGGGAGTCCCATTGCTTGTGGGTATAGGTAGGGGGGCAGACTGGCCCACCCTGTCCTGTCCTCCAGCCTGCTCTGAGGGTCAGGGGATAGGGAGAGCAAAAAGAGAGGGATTCTGACAAAAGATGGGTGGGTGGACTGGAAATTACTGGATGGGGACCTCGGCCTTGAGGCTGTCCTGTCCCATGTCCTGTCCAGTCCCTCCTGGTGCACCACAGCCGGCGGCTCCTGGAGAATATTGAACTCAAGTTCATTGACACCACCTCCAAGTTTGGACATGGCCGCTTCCAGACAGCCCAAGAGAAGAGGGCCTTCATGGTGAGCCCACCCCTGTCCTTGTTGTCTGGGGCTCAGACCTCACATCCCACCTGCCCCAGAGTGGGGAAGCTGGAGCAGATGGGGGTGGCGGGACGTCCCCTACACACATCCGCAGGAGGGGGCTTTTAGGACTCCAACCCTGGGCACTGATTCTTGCTGGAAAAGAAGGTAGAGGAGGGACTGGTCGTGGGAGGGGGCGGCAGGGCCCATTCTAGGTGACTCAGGGGGCTGGCCAGGGGCAGTATTCCGAGCAAGACCCCTGTGACTGACCCTCCTCCTGCCTCCCACCCTCACAGGGTCCCCAGAAGAAGCATCTTGAGAAGGAAAAGCTGGAGACCTCGGGAGACTTGTAGGGGCTTGGGATGAAGGGAGCCTAAAAGAAGCACGTGCGACCCACGCTTGTCCTCCTTGTCTAATAAAGGCAGAAAGCAACTCTTCCCACGGTGTCTGAGTTGAGGGCACTGAAAGGCCAGTCGACGGCTGGTGGCCCGGGGGCTTAGCGCCGGGGTAGGGAGAGCACAAGCCGTTCGAAGGGTGAAGTGTGGCCACCAGCCCAAACCCGGCGCAGCACAGCGATATCCCCTGGCGCTGGGCCTCGGGGACGCAACACACTAGTGGCTGATGGGCGGGGCCTGCTAAGAAGACCAGAGAGGTCAGGTCCTCGGGTGGGGGCGTGGCCTCCTGGAGGCGGAAGCCGGAACTCTTGTTCCAATTGGTCCACGGGAAGAGAAGGCCCTCTGGAGGGGAATCTGTCCCAGCGCTCCTGGACGTGATTGGTCTCCTAGAGGGGGCGGAGCCTCAGGGTGTGGGGGCCAGGCGCAGGCCGGGAGGTCTTGGGGTGGTTGGCCTCAGATTTGTCGGAGGCAGAAAGCGCGCTGCAGTCCTGTCGCCGCCATGTCGTTCTGCAGCTTCTTCGGGGGCGAGGCTTTCCAGAACCACTTTGAGCCGGGTACAACCTGCGACCTTCTGGGAGGGCAGCGGGGTGGGGGCGCACATTAGAGGGGGCATCGCTGCCCTAGGGTGGTGATGGAATCCTGGAGCCCTGGGAATGGGGGGCGAGTATGACGCACGGGGAGGAGCGCATATAGGTAAAGGTAAAGGGGATCACGGAGGAGGGAGAAGACGGGGGGCGGGGGGGAGGCTCGGAGAGTAGGGGTACCTGAGGGGAGGGGGACGTTAGACAGGGATTCACTGTCCTCGAGGAGTAAAGACCTTGAGTGTGAGCGTGGCCGTTTGCGGGGGAATCTGTGGGGTCAGGGTACACGGGGATGGTGTGCTGATGGGGGGGGTCCAGGTCAGGGTCTGAACTTCAGAGGGGCGGTGTGAAAGAAGGTCTTGTCCCGGGGAGCTCCTGTGACAAGGCTGCCTCTCCTGGGGGCTGCTCCCTCTCCCTGCCCTTTCCCCTCTCATGTTCCAGGGTCTGCAGGGTAAGCCAACAAGCATAGAATGTGCTGGCATAGATGCCTCTCCCACCTGCCCAGGGCCCTGGGTTTGGGTAACCAGGAGAACCATCAGGCCACCAATGGCCAGTGTAGTGAAGTTTGATGGGACAGCCTGGGTGGGGTGGGGGTGGTTTGGGGCATGGCCAGCCCTCAGCCCTGGCTCCAGGCTTTGAGAAGTCCTGGTGAATCCCCTTCTGGGCTGTGCTGCCTGGTAATGGACTAATTTGGTAAAAACATGCCATAGGCAAGACTGGGGCGGCAACTGACTTGGGGTGGGATCTGTTGGGTGTCACCCAACAGAGTAGAGGCATCTACGGATGTTACCTGACATCTATGGATGTCAGCTGTGACAGGACCTTCTGGGCAAAGCCCTCCCGAAACCCCCTGGCTGTGTGACCCTCAGGCTGCTCTGCCAAGCTGGAAACTTCACTCTTGCAGCCGCTCCTGGTTTCTCTTTGCTTCCTCCTCCAGTTATTGGTAAATGCTGAGTAGTTCACTCAGGACTCCAGCAGAGGTTGTCCTCAGGCTGGGCAGTGGGTGAGGGGTACCTGCTTTCTGTTCCACAAGTACATGTCACAACATTTTTTCCCCTTCAAAGTGATCTTTTGAGGATAGGCTAAAACCCCTTCCCCCTGTTCCCCCTGTCTTCCTGGGCCCCCTTTCTGGCCTGGATGGAGGCTTTTTTTGCTGGGACCATTCTCTTCCTGGCTGGTAGCAAGACAGCTACTTGGGAAGGGGGGGGGGCTAGGTGGTGGTGCTGGCCATGTCAGAGCCTCCACTGTGTGGGGCCTGCAAAGGGTGGGAATGCTGTGTCCTCATCAGATACCCTGGGTTCCTTCTTGGCTGCTGAGTGTTTTGCATCACCGAGCCTCAGCTTCCTCATCTGTACAATGGATAGGTCAGCATCACAGGGCTGTTGAGAAGAGTCAATGAGATAAATGTGAAAAGTGGCTCTCCTGGTCTCTGGCACATGCTAAGAACCACTAAATGTGAGCTCAGTGGTGAGTCTTCTCCACAGAACCAAAACCCAGGCCTGTGGGTGGAGGGTTGGGGCATGGGGAGGGTGTGCAGCTCACCCTGTGAATGGTGACAGTGCTGTGTTCTCCTGGGTCTAAGGATTTGGGAGCTCACCCCAGAGAGGCTGGAGGCAACGTCTTTGCTTCCACCTCTAGGCGTCTACGTGTGTGCCAAGTGTGGCTACGAGCTCTTCTCCAGCCGCTCCAAGTATGCACACTCATCCCCATGGCCAGCCTTCACTGAGACCATCCATGCTGACAGTGTGGTCAAGCGTCCTGAGCACAATCGGCCTGAAGCCTTAAAGGTGGGTGGTAGGAGCAAGGGGTGGGGAGGGGGTGTGGGCCACCCCTTCCTTCCTTCTGCTCCCCCTGCAGCTCTAGGGGCTTAGCGTCTGTCTATCTCAGGCCTCTGGCCTCAGCCAGGGAAGCTGCCACCCCAAACTAATGGGAGAGCTTGAGGCCTAGTGGGAAGAGGGAAATAGGACGACTTTCCTGTGCAAGCTCCAGGAAGGAGGTCAACCTGTCCTGCCAGCAGTTAACCTTGGGAAATGGACATGGAGAGGACACTGTCTGCTGTGGCTGTTTTGTGGCCAGAAACTCCCATGGCTGTTTTGTGGTCTTTCCAGGTCTCCTGTGGCAGGTGTGGCAACGGCTTGGGCCATGAATTCCTGAACGATGGTCCCAAGAAAGGGCAGTCCCGCTTCTGAATATTTAGCAGCTCGCTGAAGTTCATCCCTAAAGGTGAGCTTGCCATCAGGCAGCTGGACACAGGCCTGTCGTATGTTTTACAGGCTCTGGGTGTGGGACACACGATTTTCATCCACTTAGAGTGACAAAGCATGGGGTGCATTAATGCACTCTGCCCAGGGCTGCCCATGGCCATCCCAAAAGGCAGCTGCAGGATAGGGACGAGGGGGCAGATGCCCTGCCTTCTGTGCCTGGTTTATCACGTGTCCCCAAAAGGGGCATCTGAGGGTAGATGGGTAGAAAGATTTTCTCCAGAGGCCTGGCCCTTCCCTGTGAATGGATTGGAAGGTAGGGCTGGGTGGAGGCTGAGGGTGGGGTTGTGCACCTGGGACCTGGCCCGTAGTAATAGCTCAAATATGTGCTCCTATTGGCAGGATTCTTATTATTGGTAGTTTGTTTTGGAGAGCTGTAGTTTATTTTGGGGCATTTTATTTGAGCTCAGCCTCCCCTCTGGCCTTTGCTCTCCTGCTCACATAAACGCTTCCCCCAAATCATTGCACATCTGTTTGCACACCCAGCCACCCTTGAGACCTTTGTAGCTCAAATCCCAGCTCCTTACTTGATGCCTACATCACTGGTGAGTCCCTAATCTCATTTTTTAAAATTAGTTTCAGGTGTACAAAACAACATAATGATTTGACATTTACACCCCTCACAAAGTGGTAATCCCTACTACCCATGTGACACCGTACATAGCTATTACAGTATCATTGACTATATTCCCTATACTGTACTTTATATCCCATGACTATATATATGTATACATATATATGTATTTTAATTATAGTTGACATTCAATATTATTTTACATTAGTTTCAGGGGTATAGCACAGTGGTTAGGCATTTATGTAATTTATGAAGTGATCCTCCTGATAAGTCTAGTACCCATCTGACACCATATATAGTTTTCACATTATTGACTATATTCTCCATAAAAAAATATGGCATGCTTCACAAATTTGCATGTTATCCTTGTGCAGGGGCGATGCTTATCTTCTCTGTATCGTTCTAATTTTAGTGTATGTGCTGCCGAAGCGAGCACCCTAATCTCAGTTTTATCCGCTATAAAATGGGGCTGCCGACAGCACCTGCTTGCTGCCATCACCGTGGGGGTTAAATGAGATGTCAGATGATGTTTTTGTCCTTTTGTAGTTATTTGTCCTTTGTCTGTGGAGGAAGAAGAGGCTCTGGGTTCTCCTCAGATCTTGGGATGGGGCACATAGACTCCCCCACACTGGTTGTCTGGGTCCTCCAAGCTCCCCTGGCCTGCAGATTGGAGTGGAGGAGCTAGCTCAGGAGTGCTGTCTGAAGCATAGTTAAGCAGGGATTGACTTTTCTCTCCCCTCCTATCTTTCTTTCAGACAAAGAAACTTCTGCGTCCCAGGGGAAGTAGGTGGGCAGCCCTTGTGATGGGCGTTGCGTGGTGGCCACAGTCCAGCTATCCCACCTTGGAATTGGATCCCCAGATATTCAGACAGGGAAGAGAGGTGGCTGAAACATCAGGAAAGCTCCCAGGACCTTGGCTCTGCATAGGTTCTGCTTGGGAAAAGCACTGGTTTGCTGCCTATGGCCCATATCCCGCTGCTAGGATGGGCCTGGACGACCCAGCTATTGGCTCATCTTGGCCTCAGGCTCACGGGAGCCTCAGGGAGGTGGGCTGTAGGCCTGGTTCATCTGTGAATTGTGGTGTACCCTTATCCTCACTTCTCCTCTGCCCACTGCTCCTTTCCTGCCTGTCTGGACTTATCCTTTTGGGGCCCAATTCTGAGATAGGTTCTGGCCCTGGCCAAAGCTGGTGCCCATCTCCCTCAGGCTGTGCTGGGAGACAGAATGCAAATTGAGGTGGCCCCAGGCAGCTGCTCCAACCCCAGTCACTACATGATTCACTCTGGTTAAACCCTTCCAGGCAGCCAGAGTGTTGATGATCCATGACCCATGGGGGGAGCGAGGCAAGGGGACCAATCACTGGTCTCTCAGTTACAAAAGGAGAAATTCTGAACCCTATTTCACAATCTGATCCATGACCCATGGGGGGAACGGGGCGAGGGGACAGACCCCTGTTCTCTCAGTTACGAAAGGAGAAATTCTGATTTCACAATCTGTGCAGCTGCTGCTTGCCTCACGCGGGCTTAGGAAAGCAGCTATTGCCTCATTACTTTGCACAAAGCTGGGGGCCTCGGAGCTCACAGCCTGCAATTCATACCTTCCCAGGGCACAGTGACTACGCCTTACCACACATGTGCTGAAATTCTTGCCATTCAGGAATATGGGTGATACTGAAACCCTTCCTTCCCATTTTGAATCCTCTCCAGAGTTATCAGGGAGAGATGAATAAACAAACGAAACCCAGGGATGCTCTGTTTATTATCAACATCAGAGATGCCAGAATACAAGATTTAGGCTTTGTAAAATTGTTTCATTTGTTCCACAGATATTTATTGAGCACCTGCTTCATGCCAAGTTCCAGCCTCGGTGCTGGGGAAGCAGCTGTGAACAAGATAGTCAGGGGGCCCTGCCCTCAAGGTGTTATAGCATAGTTGAAGAAATAATAAGTTCCTGTCAGATCATAAGGGCTGTGAGCAACTACAGCAGAGTAATGATGCTAAGATATGTGGTAAGGGTGATTAGGGAGCTGGCGCTTTGCTTCCATCCCAACTCAGCAGTGACAGGTGAGAGAAACAAGAAGAGAGCTTCCCAGGGAGAGGCACCGCACGTGCAAAGGCCCTGAGGCGGCAGCAAACTTGGCATGTCCCAGGCCCTGTGTGAGGAGGTATGCTATATTCCAAAAGAACTACGTGATTTTTTCAATTCATATTGACAGAAATCTGGGGAATGTGTGTGGGAATCAATGGTAAGGGGTGGGATAATGGTGGAAAGAACATAAAGTTGGATCAGGCTGAATTTATTGATAGGGGCTCACTAAGCAGAGATGCTGGATTTAATGTTGCAGCTCATGGAGTCATGTACCATTAGTTTAGCTGGTTGACACATGGACCAAAAGGTGGCCCACATTAAATGGAGTTGTAATGCCAAACCTGCCTTGGCTTAATAGAGAAAGGGATCCAAAGGCTTCGGGAGATTGGAATGTTAGAGTGGATTTGTCATTTAAGACTTACTCATCCACCCTTGGAGGGTCTGGAGGACACACCTTTCACCACCATTGTGGTGGTGAAATAAATTGGTGAGGGGAGCCCCAGCATCCTAGAAGAGCTCTGGGATCACTCTTCTGTGTAGGCCAGAACTTCCATGAGAACTGTTACCATGGAATTGGGAAACCTAAATGCAATGGTGGTCATTGGATCACCAAATTCAAGGTGGGCATGGTTGCCGTAGTAGACAGCAGAGTCAAAGCAGTAATCAGGAGAGTCTGACTCTCGCTGACCTATGGTGTCGACTAGTTGATCATGGTGTCCCTAGAAGTGAAATAGATGGAAAGCCTACTGAATTCTTACTTGATCTGGATAAGCAGAAGAGTTCAAGGTCAAGTAAACACAAGTCTAACTTGAATCATAAAAGCAGCCATGACCCCTCAATCAATTCCCAGACTTGAACCAGTTTACAGACCCAGAACTCCTTGAATGAAGGGGAGGCTGGGACCCCTTAAGGAAGAACCCAGATATGCTGCCAAAATGTATACCATTAATCTCTCTCAGCCTTTCCTAAAGGGACCTACAGCATTTTAGCAGAGTATTGGGGAAAAGGAAGTAATCAGACATTTCGGGGACTTCTGGACACTGGCTCTAAACTGATAACAATCCAGGAGACACAAATGTCACTGTCAGAGTAGGGGCTTGTGGAGGTCAGGTGATCCATGGAGCTTTAGCTCAGGTCCATCTCACAGTGGGTCCAATGGGTCTCCAAACCTATCCTGTAGCTATTTCCCCAGTTCTGAATGCATACTTGGAATAGACACACTCAGCAGCTGGGCGTACCCCTACATGAGGAGGAGAGGTGAGAGGGCAAAGGTGATCAAATGAGGGAGTGGCTGGGAGGCAGGAGGACAGTGGGGCCCTGGTGTTCCTGGCCTATTCAGCCTGTTCATTCCTCAGTGATGGGAATCTGCCCCTCCCTTGATCCCCAGCCGTAGGCAAGGGCCCTGCATGGGGGTCACTGTCCTATGCGGGGGCTCCTGGCTCATTTGCTGAGCCTTGGTTGCCTCAGCTCACTGCAATCTTGGGCGGAGCACTTAACCTTCGAAGATGGGTGTCTCATGTGGAATCAAATTACCCTCCCACCCCCTTCTCCTGGGGGTTACACCATAACCTCTGGCCTGCAGCTCCAGTTCCTCCCTGAGAAACAAAAGACTCTTTGAGAGTCTAGCCACTTCCACTCCAACACCCCCGCCTTGCCAGGTGGTCTCAGTCACAGCCTTGCCAGCCAAGGGCTGCGTTCAGGGGCAGACGGCTCCTGGTGTTCTACCAATATCGGCCAACAGCAGCGGGCAGGCTGGGGCACGGCAGGCCAGCGCACACTGGGTAAAGTACCCGTGGGAGAAAAGAAATTTGCATGAGCCCTGTTGATCCACTCAGAGGAGCGCTCAATAAACGCTTGTGGAATGGATGAGTGCATTGATAATGCATGGGACTTTTGCTCACCCACGGCTTTCTTTTCATCTGAGTGACAAGTGCTAGGGAGAGCCGTGATTCTGGTGGGGAATGGCCCAGGGCAGGTCCGGTGGGTAGGTCCTGGGAAGCCCCTGACTATGCCTGAGGGCAGGGCAGGCAAGTGGCAGGATGCGCCTGAGGGAGTCCGCGAAGGTCACTGCCAAGCCGACAAGGGCCACAGTGCCCCTACCCGCTTACGAGGCCCAGCGCGATGACTCCTTTCCAGGTCCTGGGGCTTTCAAGGTCTCCTCCCGGAGTGGGCACAGGGACTTTAAGCAGGACCTACCTGCAGGGGGAGCGCTCGCTCCGCGCCGCCCTTGCGCCGGGGCAGGTCCGAGCGCCGTTTCAGTTCCCCGAGGCGCCGCCGGGGGCGCAGCGGCGACAGCTCCGACGACACGGTTGGGTTCCAGTGCACTACTCCTCCCCTATGCCCCGCGTTCCCTGGGCCTCGGCCCTTCGGCCGTGCCCGCTCAACGTACCAGCGCCTGGGATACAGGCCGAAGCCTCCTGGCGTCCGAGGATGCGGGGGCAGTGGTAGCGGGGCGCCATTTGGTGGGCTTCACAAAAGTGTCGGGTCCAGGGAAAACAGTCGAGGGCTGGGGTGGCCCTTTGTGAGTCATCCTGAGAGGGACAGAGGCGGGGAGAACAGGAGGTGGGAACGTGGGTGGAGGCAGGACGCACCAGGCCTCACCCCAGCCACTTTTCCAGGACAGCTGGTTGGGACCCACTTACATTGATGCCCTGGCCTCCTCTCCCTGAAGCCGTTCCATGCCTTCAAGTCTCACCTGCTACCACCCTGGCCCACCCAGAGGTACCAGGTTCTTGGGTTCCACCTGCCCACTTGTCTCCCCCACAATAGTGTCAGCTAGCTAGCCTCCCCCAACCAGTGTGACCTTTGCAAAATAGTCACCAGACCAGGTAACTTCCCTTTGTGGTTCCCACAGGCTTTGCTTGCTGAGGCCCCTGCAGACCCCACCTCTCCGGCTTGATTTCCTACTCCATAAATAACATCAGAGTTATTTCACATAAACGATGCCATTTTTATTATCCATACCCCCTGCACCCAAACCCCTGCAGCTGGGCCTCTAGACCAGTCAGACTCCATTCTAGAAACATGTTTCTGTGTTCCTGCCTCCCAGAGTTGCTGTTTCTTTTTTCTCATCCCCTCCCCATGTACTGCTACAATAGAATCCTTCTAGAAGTCTTTCCTGGTGGCTCCTCCCCAGTGGCTGTCTCCTTCCCCCACCCTGGGTGGTTCTCCTGTATGTGTGCACAGACTAGGTTCCTGCTATCCCCTTGCAGATTTCACCCAACCCCAGGTCAACAGCTCCTCAATGCCGGTGACCATGTTGCATTCATCTCATTCATTTACTTCCCCAAACGCAGAGCTGGTGGAGGCTGCACACCGTATGCAGCATCAGATGAACATAGGTATGTCAAATTGCACTGCCTTCTGCCCACTCCCTCTGCACCCCATCTGCATGAGTGAGTCCGTAGTCTGGGGGATGCAGGGACCCCAGGACCACATATCACCATACCCTGGCCCTGGGTGCTAAAGTTCTGCTTAATGGAGCTTAGGGGCAAGAAGCACAGGGAAGACAGTTGGTGAGCCTCCCTGGCAGGCAGGAGGGGGGCTGCTGGGGAGAGGGCTGAGGGTTACCTGCAGATAAGCTCCCTTCACCCACTGACCCCTCCACCCCCACCCCTGTGCCTATCTCCAGGCGTGATTTGTTCCTTGTAAAACCCCAGAGATTATCCATGGTTCAGCCCCTGGCTTCATGTCTTATCATGTTTCATCTCCAACCAGTACATTTACAAGCTACTCTTGGCTTCTAAGGGCTTGGCTGCAGCATTGCCAGAGAGAAGAGAGACAGAACACGGAGAAGATAGGGTCCTGTGGGGTCTTCCTGACCCCAGTGGTTCAGGCTGCCTGTTGCCCTAGGCTCCCCCTTCCACTTCCGACTCCTGTGGCGTTCTGCTCCTTTAGTCTTGGGAGCGTGGATCTTTGCTGGGTCCCTATCTCGAGCCCCTGGTGTGTGTCTAGATGTGGGGGGAGAGCAGGGAAGCTAGAGTCAGAGGGAGGACACTAGTGGCCTGTATAGGGGACATGGATGGAGTCATCATTCTCAGAAGGGAGTGGGGGTCAATTTTGAAGGTCCTGTTGTCAGAGCAGGAAACTTGCAGCTTAGGGAGGGTTCTGCTGGGGAGGGGAGAGGAGTTTGAGGTACTCACCCCAGAGATGCTGTGCCCCTGGGGTTCCTGCTATCCCCTTGCCATTTTCCCTGAACGCTGAGCCAAACAAGATTGGCCCCATGCCTGTCTATATGCCTGTCTGCCAACTGTGGGGTGGGGTGCTTCCCCTGGAAGTAAGGGGGGGATGGAGTGCGGCCCTCCCTGGGGGTCCCGTCTCCTGGCCAGCCTGGACTTGCTCCTGGAAGTAGGTCACCGGTGTATGGGAAATTCAAACTTAGGGCTTTCCACACTGGGGGGATGGTGGTTGGGACCTGGCGGCAGGCCTCTGAGTCTCCCCTTTTCTGCCTGTGTACACACACACGCGCACGACACACACACGTGGTCCTGTGCCCTCTTTGGAGCGTGGGGTTCCTGAGCCTGCATCAGGCCCATTGCTCATGATGGAACATACTCACAGTCACCTTCCAGTCCATGGGGACCCTCACCAGGGCACAGACAGACCTGGCTACAGAGTCCCAGTGGCCCGATGTGGGGTCACTAGGATGACACCCA